ATGAGCATGGGCATTGAAGAAATCTTGCACTTTCCTAAGTACTGCCTTGCATTTAATTATCTTTGCCCAACATGTATGCATGGTTGCAACATTCTGAACATGTTACATGTACTGACACACAACTATTAATTTTTTTTTTCAGTGTGGATACAACTGCCCCCGACTATATATACATACAACCAACCAAAATTCATTGTAGTTTACGAGATACTTTTGAAGCTGTTCTTGCTCTTCTGCTTTAACTGCATAGCTGAAAATCCGCGAGTCACCATGCGACAAAACGGCACCATGGTGACAGTGAAGCAGCAGTGTGGCAAATGTAAAGGCTTTGTTTGGAATTCACAAAGTTACATGCCTCATGGCAAATATCCTGCAGGTAATATGCCGCTGAGTTTGGCTGTANCAAAAAATAAATGTATGTGAAAGTTAATCACAGCTTGGTCATGTACATGTACATTGTATTAAAGCAGAATATGATTGCTATATTATGAGCATAGGCATTGAAGAAATCTTGCACTTTCCTAAGTACTGCCTTGCATTTAATTAGCTTTGCCCAACATGTATGCATGGTTGCAACATTCTGAACATGTTACATGTACTTACACACAACTGTCAATTTTTTTTTTTCAGTGTGGATCCAACTGCCCCCGACTATACATACAACCAACCAAAATTTATTGTATTTTACGAGATACTTTTAAAGTTGTTCTTGCTCTTCTGCTTCAACTGCAAAGCTGAAAATCCGCAAGTCACAATGCGACAAAATGGCACCATGGTGACACTGAAGCAGCAGTGTGGCAAATGTAAAGGCTTTGTTTGGAATTCACAAAGTTACATGCCTTATTGCAAATATCCTGCAGGTAATATGCCGCTGAGTTTGGCGGTATTGATGGCTGGCGCCTCAATAAGTAAGGTTTTGCTGTTATTTCATCACCTGGAACTGTGCTGCTACTCACCTCGTACCTTCTTCTCACACCAGCGGTCATTCATTTTCCCAACTGTCATCCGCCACTGGGAGTTGTACAGAGCTAGCCTTGTTAGTAAGCTTAAGGACATGAAAGATGTGGTATGGTCAGGAGATGGGAGACTTGACTCCATGGAACACTCGGCCAAGTACGGAGTTTACACAATGTTCTCTACAAGCAAAATGAAAGTGGTGCATTTTGAACTTGTTCAGGTATGAAAGCCATTGACTTCATGTCATAATTTTAGTACTACAATTTTTCGACAACTGTTGTGCCAGTGAATTGTAGTAGTAGTAGCAGTAGCAGAAGCAATAGCCGCAGCGGTAATGGTAAAGCTTTATTAAGTGTCAATTGTACCTGTCCAGCATTATTATACTAATTAGTGACACTGATATTAAAAAATAAGACAATCATCAATGCAAAAAAAACTGTTCATGTTGTGGAAGAGTTTGATTCTTTGTTATCCTCTCAGTCTTTTCAGCCTTTTGAGGGGGTTGGGGGCGGGGTGTGCCAGAGCTGAGGTTCACATTTCGCACTTTCAAATGGTTAAGTTTAACAAATTGACGTCAGTTTTTCATGCGTCTGTACTGTTATTGATCATGAATTTCCACATAACCTTGTCACTTTCGCTTGTTTACGCTCCTTGACGCATCGCATAAATTATATATTCATGTGTCTGTCCGCTTATTGACAATGACAATTAACCAATGAGCGTGCAAGAATTTCTGCAGTTATTGTAAAAACTATGTTTGCAGCAAAATGTTTCAATGACAAAGAATTTGTGCATCTATTTCGGTAGGCAAATGAGACTGGGGACAGCCAACAAACTGAACTTGAGGGAGCAAAACGGTTCTTTCAATTTCTGCAGCAAATTGGCTTGAAAATT